TAAAATTTAGTCTGGAATTTATTTTTCTATTACTTTTTCTAAATAAGTACAAAAAAAATTAACAGCAGCTAAAAATAAGCATGCACAAATAATATATAATACAGTTGAGTATTTTTTTAAATAAATACATTTATAAATCCATAAACACGATGCAATAAGCAAGTTTAGATAAATAGACAGACAGAGAGAACAGTTATTTATGAACTGATTTATGCAGTATGTATTTAAGCATTTCAGTTCATATTTCTGAGTTTTTCTCTTTACGCCTCTAATCCGGCTTCTTTTAACACCACATACTGATTACTTACGCCAGAGTTTCTATGCTGTAGAAATACTGAATGTGCTGAGAAGCCTTCTAATTAGTTCCAATATCATTTACAGGGAAGAGGGGAATTAGCGCTCTCTTTCACTGGCCGTGTGATAAGGTGTTATCTCGTGCGAGCTTCTATGTGCACACGTTTGATCTTTCCTTCTCTCTGGTAGGGACGCGGGGCAGTGAGTCTCTGAGATTCCCCCTCGACGGAGGCTCGCACAGCCCTGTTTAATTAACCCACACCTGTATCTGCCCCTCCCAGCACTGCTGATATCGGAACACACAACTCATCCTGAGAGAGAGAGAGAGAGAGTGTGTACAGACACAAGAAGTCAAGCGTTCGACACACCTACTCGCTCTGCATTGCTAATATTATCACATGTTAGAATAATAGTGCAATGCTGAAGACTCTCAATTAACATACATGGAAGTGTGGGAATGATACAGTGATCAAAACATGTGACAAATGTCTTATATTTGAGCTTCTTCTTTTTCTAAATTCTAGCTTAACTTTATGAAGAGCATCTTGGGATCAGAATAACTCAAAATCATAATAGCTTAAATTTTCAAAAATGATATGAAGGCACAATTTATATTTGATTATAAAACTCATTTCAATTATTTAAGCAGAAGCTTTTAGATCTTAAAGGGGCAGTTCACCCAAAAAAGGAGGAGTAAACTGGGCTGAAACGCTATGTATATGCTGCATAAATCAATTCATAAATAAATTGTAGTACACAATATATTAAAAATGTGGAATAACTAAACATACACCCACCACAAAAAAAAAAAAAAAAAACCCTGATAAAAAGATAAAAACACTCAAATTAAATTTATTAAACAATTAATACATTATGTATAATCCCATTGCAATACATACATATGTATGACTTGATTAAAAATATACAATTACACTTTTTAATTAAATTTAGTCCTGAATTTATTTTTGTATTACTTTCTCCAAAGAAAAATGTTGAATAACTAAACGCATACCCACAAAAAAACCTGATAAAAATAAAATTATTAATAAAAAAAAAAATAATTAAATAAAAAGGCATTATTAAATAAATAATGAATAAAATAATGTATAAATATACTGCAGTGAATAAATAAATAAATAAATAATGTATGTCTTGATAAAACAATTACCATTTAAAATTCAATTTAGTCCTGAATTTATTTTTGTATTACTTCCTCTAAAAAAAAACACAAACATATCACATAAAATAAATATGCACTAAACATATATAATAAACAACCAACTTTTTATTTTAATTTTACTTTGACTAATTTTCACTGTAAAAGTCCCCCGGGGGTGTGTTTTGTTATTCTATATTTACATAAATATTTTTAATATACGATGTGATGCAATGTATTTATTAATGGACTCATTTATTTAATTAAAAAATAACTTATTTTTGTTTATTATATATTTACACAATTTATTGTCTATGGATGTTGTTGGACCCTAGACTGTCAACTTTCACTTTCGCCTGTACTATCCCTTTAAGATCATGAGAAACAAACTCTCTGTCCAAACTTTAGCCTGGAAACAGGATGATGTGAAATGGAAAGTGAGATTGCAGACGGATGGATCTGATGAGCGAATGACTCTATCACGTCTTTCCTGGGCAGTAATTACTGCACTGACTCTTGGGATTGAAGAGGAAAGTGACAGAGTGACACACTGGACTGAGTTTATGTCCATCTGACCGCACTACAACCTGCTGAGAAGACCAGCTCAGACCAGCATGAATTTCAGGACGGTTTACACTACAGTTCAAAAGTTGGGGGTTGGTAAGATTTTTTAATGAAGTCTCTTCTGCTCGCCAAGGCTGCATTTATTTGATGAAAAATACAGTAAAACTAGTGAAAATGTTAAATATTATTACAATTTAAAATAACTGTTTTCTATGTGAATATAGGTGAAAATTTTATTTATTTCTGTGATCAAATCTGAATTTTCAGCATCATTACTCCAGTCTTTCAGAAATCATTCTAATATGGTGATTTGCTGCTCAATTAACATTTCTGATTATTATCATTACATTTCTACTGTTGCACATTATATACATGGTCATAGTGCATAACTAGTTCTAGATACAACATCAACAGGCAAGGTATACAAGAAAGCAAGCAAAAGTTATATTGTGCATATGCTGAATCAATCAATTGTTTCTTACAAACAAGCAGTTTTTGTCTTCTCCAGATGTTAACTGATGGACTGGAGTGGTGTGGATTACTTGTGGATTATTGTGATGTTTTTATCAGCTGTTTGGACTCTCATTCTGACGGCACCCATTCACTGCAGAGCATCCATTGCTGAGACACTGATGCAATGCTACATTTCTCCAAATTGGATGAAGAAACAAACTCACCTTGAATGGCTTGAGGATGAATACATTTTCATTTTAGTGTGAGCTATTCCTCTACCTATTTATGTAGCATTTTCAAGGCCCAATTTTTAAAACAATCAATTAATCACACTAATTTACTGCACCAATTGCTGCTCAGGAAACATTTCTGATTATTAGCTGCTTAGTATTTTTGTGGAAACCATGATACATTTTATTTTTCAAGATTCTTTGATGAATAGAAAGTTAAAAAAGGGGCAATTATTAGAAATAGAAATCTTCTGTAACATTATACATGTCTGTACGGTCACTTTTGATGGGATTAATGCATTTTTGATGAATAAGAGCTGAATAAGCATTCATTCTCCTTTCCCTAGAGGTGACACGGGGCACTGCAGCAGTTTGTGCCTCTCAGGGCAGATTATGGTTGTCGGTGTCAGAGGAATATAAATGTACCAGCAGCAGCGGCGGGAGGGATGAGAGCCGATTTAAACATGGGCGGCGGTGAATGAGGGCAGTGTGACAGCAGCCTGACGCAGACCAGATGGGTTCTCAGGGATTACAGCGAGAGTGCGGTGTGCTTTTTGAGAGTAATAACACGAGCATCTCTCACCGCCCGACTCAATAACACTGCCGTTTCGCCGTGTGAGAGCGGACGTTATGATCCTGCTCAAGACAGACAACAGCCAATCAGAAAGACTTTCTCAAACTTGAGACGCACCAGAACCAGTGACGTCAAACCTGGACTGAATACGTGTATGATTTAAGAAGGTTTCAGAGAATTACATCTTAAATTTCAGACCATTTCTCATACAAAGCATCAAATGGCAAATTAAATACAATGGTGCTTTATGATTTTTCCTTATTGGAGCTCATGAAAATGGGCTGCATGAACAAACTTCACCCTGAATATCACGTCATACTCATTGTGTGAACTCAAACATTTCTTATCAAAATCTCTCTGAGCAGATGATCTGACATGTGATTCACATTCATGTATAACTCGGATCCAAAACCTGCATATGCAGTAAAGCCATGATTAATAAGACTGACTAATAAGCATAAAATAAATATTGGATAAATTCACCTATTTTAAACTATATTTATTTATGTTTTTGGTATCAAATATTTGCCAACATTCCTCTCGCTTTGCCTGCCATATGGAATAGAATTTATTATTTTTTTCTTTGTATTGATTTCTTTTTTTTAATGGACTTATTGCATTGATTTATGGGATTTAGGGTAAAATATTTTAACAAAGAAAACTATCATGTCAACAGAAATAAAGCTGAAAAACAAATATTTTAAAATAAATAAATATTAGATGAAAAATTCAAACTTAATGAAAATTAGAAATGTAGCCTTGTCAACTAACTGAACTAAGTTTAAGCTGAAACACTAAAAAATATAAATAATATAAATATAATAATATATCATTATTACATACATAAATATAAAAAAATGTAAATTAAATTAGAATTAGAAATGTAGCCTTGGCAAATAATTGAAATAAGTTTAAGTTGAAACACTAATAATAATAATAATAATAATAATAACAATAATAATATAATCATTATATATAAATATCAGATAAAATGTAAAGTAAATGAAAATTTGAAATGTAGCCTTGGAAACTAATTGAAATAAATTTAAGTTGAAACACTAAACATTAAGAATGAATGAATGAATGAATGAATGAATGAATGAATGAATGAACTATTAGATGAGAAATGAGAAATTGGAAACTACTAAATGGAAATAAAACTAAATCAAAAAATTTAATCTAAATAGCAATATTAAAAAACTGAAAAAAGTACATAAAAATACTAAAAACTGAAAATATAGAAATCAAAGCTAATTCAATATATTAATAAAAACTATGATAGTATGTGAAAATAACTGATTGGATTGCCATTTCCATAAAGGACACAATAGCATCTGGCTAAAATGAATGAATTATTATTTCCACAGGTTTCAGATCAGAGTCTTACTGCATGTCAACCATCATCTCATTTCTATCTGAATCTCTCCTCGGAAATTTAAGCAGAAACAACAAAGCCAAAGTTAATATTTAAATGAAACATATGCAAGAATTCCTTTAAGTCCTCAAGACTCCATAAGAACAAGCTTTGAGCCATAAAGCGCTCCTCAGGGCATCGTCCTCCTCTTCTTTATTTAGGAAAATACATCAAAGCTGAGCAGATCAAGCTCTCGTCCTCCGAAAGCCTTAAAACCAGCCGCCATCAGCACTGCAGCAGGGTCATCTTACAACAGCAACAGAGAGCGCCTGAAGGCCTTTTACCATGGTAAAAGAGTAAAACAAAGCATGTTACCTTCAGAAGAGGCGTTTGAGAAGGATCAGGGCCAGCCCGCAGACACACGGCACATGAGAGAGAAAGAAAGACAGATAAACACTGGTTAGTGATCGTACAGGAACATTTGACTGTACATTCTGAAGAATTAGTCAAAGATATGGTTATTTGCATTCTATTGTTTGCATTTAGCATTGTTTTTCTCTGCTTGTGACACATCAGAATAGAGACACGAGCATCATGCTAGTGCAGACGCTAACATCGCTCGCGGTCATGTGTATCATCAACTCATCGATCACACAGAGCACGACAGACACTGACTTTGACTGACCTGTAAAACGGATTCATCCGATAGAGTCAATCAATCTTAATGTCAGGGTAAAATAAGAATTATCATTCCAATTATATTATATGCTTCTCAAAACATAAGCCTTTTTATTTATTTATTATATAATTAAGCTTTTTGTTTTCATAAACTTTTTATATGCAGTTTATGAAAACAAATAGCTTACTTTTCATCTATCTATCTATCTATCTATCTATCTATCTATCTATCTATCTATCTATATATATACTGTATATATATATATATAAAAAATAAGATTTTTGTAAGTTTAAATAAATAAATAAAGACATGAAAATAGGATATGAAAAATAACTTGAATGAAGCTAAACTAAATAACAAATACCAAAATGAAGATTTTATAAGCTAAAACAAACAAATAAATAAATAAAAAGATGTGAAAATGGGAAATGAAAACAAAATGATATTCGTATTTGGAAAACAAGACAACAACACTGAGGAAGATTCTTTTTCTTTTCTTTAAATGCAACATTTAATGTCATGACTTTATGAATTTAAGACTTTCTGCTCTGATTTAAGACCTTTTTAAAGCCTTAAAGGTCTATCTATCTATCTATCTATCTATCCATCCATCCATCCATCCATTGACACACACATACATTTATGAATATTATGATTTATGAAAATAGGACATGAAAACAAAAAGCTTAACAAAAATAAAGGGCATTTTTAAGCTAAATAACCTACTTTTATATGTATTTTATTATTTATAAAAATTAAGTTATTTGTTTTCATAAACTATTTTCATATATATTTTATGAAAACTAGTGGTCGACCGATATATCGCCAAGGCCGATATATCGGCCGATATTTGGCATTTTTCAAATATCGGCATCGGCCGATAAGTTTTTCTGTTTGGCCGATGTGTTCGAGGCGGGACTTTTATTTTGACAACGAGTGTTTATTATATGTGTTAAATGATATGTTTATTTTACACAATTATTTTTAATCCATTTTCAAATTATTTCAAATTTCTTAAATATAAATTAAAATAAATAAAATGATATCGGCTTTATATCGGCCATCGGCCACCCTGCTTTCCAAGATATCGGCATCGGCGGTCAAAAAACCCATATCGGTCGACCACTAATGAAAACAAACCTTATTTTTTTATAAATAAATAAATAGGATATGAAAACAAGTAACTTGAAATGAAGCTTAAAGTAAATGTTAAAATAAATAAAAGAATACGTAATAAAAATTAATATCTGAATGTGTAATAAATAAATAAATAAATAGACTTGAAAATAGGATATGAAAATGAAAAGCTTTTAAAATAAATAAATAAATAGGATACGAAAACAAATAGCTTAATAAAAATGAAGGTTAAAATAAATGTTAAAGTAAATAAAAGAATACAGAATAAAAATAAATAACTGAATATGTAATAAGTAAATAAATAGACATGAAATAGGATATGAAAACAAAAGTTTCACAAGAAAGTTTTTTTATATAAATAAACAAACAAACAAACATGAAAAGAGGATATGACAAAAAAAAGTCTAGTCTAAACTTCTATAATGTCAGATTACTGAGTGTAATAGGATATTCAATGCAAAATAATAGCATAGAGGGACTTAATTGTATTAATCATGAACCGACTGGTTTGTAAAAAGTGGGCGTTGCATCAGAATGGAGTCGTGTGATTGGAGGAGAGGAGTTGACAAATTAAGAGGACTGTCAGCTGAAAAGTCAGCTGTTTTTGAGGCAGAACAAATCACATCACATTACAAAAACAAACAGTCTGGAATAGCATGCACCAATAAATCATGTATAAGAGCATGAACTATGATTTTGATGTCACATTGACTTTGCAAACATGTGCTCACATATTCTGACTTTATCTGATTCTCACATCCTGTAAACACACAAACCCTCATGCTTACGCAAACCCTGTTTCTAATCCTATAACAAAGCATCTTGTTGTTTACACACTGATGAAATACAGGCTCTGAAGATCGAGTGATCCTCATGCGGGAGCAGCTCCGTTCTGCCCCGACACCTTCCTCGCCTCGTGAAAATGTCAGAGAGCTGCGGTCTCGACGGGGGGTGTTTATTTCTGCTCCACGGCGCCCTAACGGCCGGAGCGAGACGCAAACAAACACGGCCTCGTTTAGCTACCAGAGAAAAAACAGCAAAACAGCCACAGGTCTGAGGAGCCGAGCGAGTAAAGGCACAAACACGAGAGCCCTCGTGACTCCGTCTTGGAAAATAACTCAAAGAGTCGCTGTCAGAGCTCATGAACTGAGTTTTAGGGAATGCTGTGACTGAAGAGAGCTTGTGATTAATCTTTTACTCGAGGACACAAGAGGAAGACACCATTATGCTCTTCAGAAGCACTTTAAATCAGGTTTTCTGCAGGTTTATCAAGGTAATTGTAAGACTTTAGGCCTATTTAGGACCAAGTACAGAAAATGTAAGGAATATCCAATACTTTTTGATGTATTAAAAATAGCTTAACTAGAAAATGGAAATATCTTTTAATGTACCTTCTCATCACTGCAAAAAAAAGTGCTGTTCTTCCTCTGTATTTTTGTCTTGTTTTCCAGAGGCAAATGTCTAACGCTTCTTAAATTAAGCAAAATGACAAAATATGAAGTCTTGTTCTCGAAGAAATTGATGAAAATTAAGTTTCTGATTAAAACAAGAACAAATATCTACCAATGGTTTCAAAAACACAATTGAAAGGGAAAACATGTTTTCATTCCCTATTGACAGATATCTGTTCTTGTTTTAAGAATAAACTCACTTAATTTTGCAACTCAAGTAAATGTATCTTGATTTAAGGATGTTTAGATATTGACTTTCTGCTCTGATTTAAGACCTTTTTAAAGCCTTCATTTGTGGAAGGGAGAATTAAGACAGACAGACAGACAGCAGAAACCCTGTAAATGTAGGAGTGCATTTGCAATTCAGGAGAAAATATAATAACTACAGCGCAGAAGCGCCAGGGTTTTGCTCTCAGTTGTAGACTCTGCAATGACGAAACAGCATCAAACTCCAGGCAAACGCCTGCTGACAGATTGGATGCACGGCTGCACTGATCTTCCTCAAAAACACAACAAGCAATATCGTTACGGCTGCTCAAATGATGCTCTGCCTCCAAAATAAGATTCAGCGTGGAAAGGACTCAATTCATGTCACTGCTGTTTTAATATCCGTTTGTAAGTCTAACAGCATTTACAGTGTTCACTGGAGGCTGTGGATGAAAAGAGCACAAAGCAATGTTAACTGATGTGAGGAGATGAAAACACTCCACTGTGCTCATAAGAGGTTTGATTTACATGCAAATATAATATTAATTAAATATAAATATAAATAATTATTATAATTATATTATTTATTATACATTATTATATATTTAATATAAATATTAAAACATATTACATATTAAATATTTTAAAAGATAATAGTAACATTTTATAAAATTATATAGACATTAAAAAACAATGCTAATAAAAATGACAAAAACACACAACAAAATTACTCAAATTTAACTAATTAAAATAAAATGAAAACAGAAAATATAGAAGTAAAACCTAATTCAAAATATTAACAAAATCTATAATAATATATAAATGATACTAAAATTACACTGGTTTCAACACCAGTTGTTAAGTTCTACAAAATAATCCTAAAAAGCTCAGTTCCCTAATTGGATGAGTCAATGTTGCAGTGTCTGATGGTCGTGATGCTCAGGCTACTGTTTTGAAAGTGAATAAACCTGCAAATGTCTGTCTTATAGCTGACTCTGCAGATTAAACTGCGATAAAATAATCCATTTTCCATCCCAAAAATCGCACACGTCACCTTTAAGTACAATTACTGAAGTACTTTCCAGCCCTGCGGAGGAGCCGTAATGGCCCTTTCACTGGAAACACAAGAACAAAGACAGAGAAGCTCAAGGACTCATGGAGCGAGAATTCAGTCTTTGTTCAGTGCGGAGCTGCAGAATGAGTGTGTGTGTGTGTGTGTGTGTGCGTGTGTGTGTGTGTGTGTGTGTGTGTGAGTGTGTGTGTGTGTGTGTGTGTGTTTGTTTGTGTGTGTGAGTGAGAAACAACATGTAAGTAGAGATGCACCGATTGCAATTTTCTTGGCCGATTCCGATTTCTCGTTAGTATGATCTGACGATACCGATTTTTGCCGATTCCGATTTTCTTTCTAAGAACTATAATTGACAGCATATACAAACAAAAATCTACTTTTCCTCAACGCAAAGTTTTATAACACATGCAGTGTTATTTTACATTTGATTAATTTCTGTAGTCTTCATTGTAAAAATTAAATACAGATTAATGCTTACCATTAAAGTTATAAAACGTATTCAGTCAAGAGCAGAAAAATATTTTTTTTGTCTTTTGTTCTTTGATTAACATGACAGACAGCAGCAGGAATATTGGACTGCGGCAGTGTTGCCAATTTAGCTACTTTGTAGCTAGACTTCCCCGCCCCTTTTGAGACTTTTTTCAAAAGTTTAGGGACAAATATAGCAACTTCTTGGACAAACCTTATCCAACTTTCAATTGAAAGCAGTTGGCAACACTGGACTGCGGTCCCTTTAAGAGTTTATCCACGGACCAAATATACTGCTACACAACATGCGTTCTCTTTCTAACGTTCCAAAACTGACTGTGTTTAACTGGATACTCGCCAAGACGGGCATTTTGACATAATTGACATAAT